TGTCCCACCCGAGTGATTCCCGGTGGTGTCGTTTCCTTTCCAGGAGCGGGGCACCCCATGAAGCCGCATCGCCTGGCGCTCACCCACAGCCTGGTCCTGCACTACGGGCTCTACAAGAAGATGATTGTAAGCGAGGGGCTTGACGGCACCTCCCCCACTCGGTGGGTGGGGGGAGAGGGGGCAGCGACGGGCAGCTTCGGGCTGGCGGCAGCCCGGGTGGGCGGTTTAGGGTTTGCTTGCAGGGAAGGTCACCAGCATCCTGGCCTGGATCAGAAGTAGGGTCCTCAGCAGGACAGGGGAGAGATCGTCACTGTCCTGGACTCAGCACTGGTGGGACCTCACCTTGACCACTGTGTCCAGTTTTGGGTGCCACAGGATAAGAAGGACATTGAGGGGCTGGAGCGGGTCCAGAGAAGGACAACGAAGCTGGTGAGGGGTCTGGGGAATATGGCTTGTGAGGAGCAGCTGAGGGACCTGGTGGTGTTTAGTCTGGAGAAGAGGACGCTCAGGGGAGACCTTGTTGCTCTCTCCAACTCCCTGACAGAGGTGAGGTAGGGATTGATCTCCCAAGGAACCAGCAATAGGACAAGATGCAATGGGCAGAAGTTGCCCCAGGGGAGGTTTGGATTGGATTTTAGGAAGAATTTCTTTCCAGGCTGCCCAGGGAGGTGGTGGAGTCCCCATCCCTGGAGGGGTTCAAAAACCATGTGGACGTGGCACCTGGGGACACGGTTCAGTGGTCACAGTAGTGTTGGGTGGTGGTTGGACCCCATGATCTTAGAGACCTTTCCCAACCTGAGTGGTTCCATGCTTCTTAGCACTCCCCCATCAAAGTTTGGCGTGTCATGGTAGGTTCTCACAGATCCCTTGTGCCGTGGCCTCTCCCTCAGCTCCACTTTGGGCACAGCATGGCACAGAGCTGTTGAGGACACAGCGTTCAGCAGCACCCTGAACCCCCATCGGACCGGGCAGAGCTGGGCAGAGAGGCCCCACGGTTGGTTGTCAGCATCTTGTGAGGACAGTGCCTGGAGCTGCAGCAGTGCCACTGGGGACTGTGCAGGATGTTCCTGTGTCTGTAGCTCCTTCTAGGAAGGTGCTGGTGACCACCGGGGACCATGTGATTGTATGACAGTAGAGCTGGAAACAAACCCAGACCCGTAAGAGGCTTGAAATTCACTTTGACACCTTAATGGGTTCACTGGTCGTGTCTCTTACCTGACCAGTGGTTGTCCAGCCTGCTCTTCAAACCTTTTGTTGACCAACCAGCTCAAGCAATGGTTAAAAGAGCCCAGCTAGAAAGGTTTTTCTCTTCCCTAATCTGTGTAAACCTGACAAAACATCATCAGCATGTAGCAGTAATTGGAAAGGAAACAGAAATCTTAATTTTTCTGAGAATGAACAAGTCTAGGTTACCAGAATGACCCTGGAAAAGGGTGGAAACCCTTTTTTGGGGGTGTTTTGTTTCGCTGGGTGCCAGTGGGATGGAAACTGCTGCTTTCCCTGGAATCCTTGTTCACTTTTCTGCCCCTTCCTGAAGCACAGAACAAAGGAAAAGCTCTTGGGAGCGCAGGGCTTGTAACTGAACCCCTGCTGATACAATATCAAGGTTGGAATGCTCAAAGTCTGCAATTCTGCCCCTTTTGAAGTGGCTTTTACCCATTTTGCCGTGCAGGGCAAGCCACCTGCAGCAGCTGAGTGTTTAGGGACAACTTTTGTTTTGTCTCCCAGAGTGGAGGGATTGCCTGGGAGCTGTTTCAGACTGTTGGGCAGTTTGATTCCTGGGCTGCCTGGCAAGGTTCCAGGCCATGCTTCCTGATCCAGGAGCTGGCTGTAGCTGCTGCCCATTGTCCCCACAGCCTGTGCCCTGTTTGAGGTGCCCTGGGAGGGGACCATAGCCCCTGTTACTGCAGATGTTCCAGGCTACAGCTTCACGTGCTTCGGGTTTGATGTGTAGGGGTGAGTGGATTTACATATGTGGAGTACTGGGTCCAGTGCTGGGCTCCCCTGTTCCAGAGAGACCAGGAGCTACTGGAGAGAGCCCAGCAGAGGCTGCAAAGCTGCTGAGGGGCCTGGAGCATCCCTGTGCCAGGAAAGGCTGAGAGCCCTGGGGCTGGTCAGCTGGAGAAGAGAAGACTCAGAGGGCATCTGATCAATGCTGAGCAAGAGCTAAAGGGCCCCTGGGGGACAAGAGGCTGGGGTCAGACTCCTGTCAGTGGTGCCCAGTGACAGGACAAGGGGCAACGGGCACCAACTGGAACCCAGGAGGTTCCACATCTGAACAGCAGGAAAGACTTCTTTTCTGAGGCTGCCTGAGGCTGGAGGAGGCTGTCCAGAGAGGTTGTGGAGTCTCCTGCTCTGGAGAGGTTCCAAACCCACCTGGCTGTGATCCTGGGCACCCTGCTATGGGTGACCTGCTGGAGCAGGGGGGTTGGGTGAGATGATCTCCAGAGGTCCCTCCAACCCCCACCATGCTGGGATTCTGGGATGTTCCCTTTGTGCTCCCAGATCCCCCCGTGTGTTCCTCACCCCACTGCAGTCGGGCTCTGCTCCTCTTGCTGCTCGGCCAAGCCACCACTTCCCCTCTCAGTCGTGGCCCTGAACTGGGTGACCCCAGAGGCTGCTCTCAGAGTGACCGTGGAGCTCAGCCCTGGCTTGTGGGCGTGCCTGTCGATGGTGGCGAGGAGCTGGTTTGAGGCTCTGGAGGACAAAGCTTGTCTCAGCCGTGTGTTCTCGCGTCTGCAGCTGCTCTGGGGATAAATCCAGAGCTGCTCTGGAAACCTGGTGGTGGTGCCAAGCTGTTGGACAGAAATACACAAAGCCCAGTCCCTCCAGCTCGAGCAGACACTTCTCCAGACCGTGATTCACTTCCCAGGTTTCCTCATCCCCACCGTGAGACGTGAAAGCAGAGTTAGAACCAAACTCCACCATGCCCTCAAAGACCTGACTAAATAATTTAGTAGTTGTGATACCAAAAGAAGCCTAAAGGCTGCTTCTCAAGCACCTGAGAACCAGAGTTGTATCAAACAAAGTGAGCAGAGAGAGCAGGATTAGGCCCATGTTTGGAATTCTGGCATGGTTACAGAGTCTTCTCCACTGCAGGGACAGGACAGTCCCTCAGTCAGTTTACACAGGATGCAAAATTTGGGTGGGTGTGTTGATCTGCTTGAGGGTAGGAGGCTCTGCAGAGGGCTCTGGCCAGGCTGGAACAATGGGATGAGGTTCAATACGGCCGAGTGCTGGATCCTTGGGTCTCAACAACCCCCCACAGTGCTCCAGGCTGGGGGAAGAGGGGCTGGAAAGGACCTGAGGGGGCTGGTCAACAGCCAGCTGAAGATGAGCCAATGTGGGCCCAGGTGGCCAAGAAGGCCACCAGCACGCTGGCCTGGATCAGCACGAGTGTGGCCAGCAGGAGCAGGGCAGGGATCATCCCCCTGGACTAGGCACTGGGGAGGCTGCCCCTCAAACCCTGGGGTCAGTTTTGGGCCCCTCCCTCCCAGAAGGACCTTGAGGAGCTGCAGCATGGCCAGAGAAAGGGAACAAAGCTGCTTGGGAAGGGTCTAGAGGAAGCTGAGCCTGGAGCAAAGGAGGCTCAGGGGAGACCTTCTGGCTCTCCACAGCTCCCTGACAGGAGGCTGGAGCCAGGGGGGGGTCGGGCTCCTCTCCCAAGGAACAAGGGACAGGACAAGAGGAAACAGCCTCATATTGTGCCAGGGGAGGTTTAGGTTGGACCTGAGGAATAGGGCCACCAGGGCTGTGCCAGGCTGCCCAGGGCAGTGGTGGAGTCCCCATCCCTGGAGGGGTTTCCAAGCTGTGGAGGTGTGGTGCTGAGGGACATGGGTCAGTGGGGACCTGGCAGTGCTGGGGAATGGTTGGACTCGATGATCTGAAAGGTCTCTTCCAACCTAAACAATTGTATGATTCTACTTCTTGTTGTTCAGGGTGGCCTCTGGACATCCAACAAGGGGTAGTTCTGCTCTGTGATGACTGTTTTGTGTTGGGTTTGGTCTCCTTGGCTTTGTCCTCTCACCAGGCAGTTGGTGTTCAGGTCTGACTCTGTCTGTTGAGCTCCATGTGTTAGGCGCTGAACAGGTCAACCTGTGTCATCACAAGATCCTTACTGTGAACCCGTCCACTTCCCTGACTGGTTTTTGCCACCTCTCCAAAAGAGATGAAGCTTCTGCAGCTGTTCTCTCTGGTTCTGAGCTTTTTCCAGAGAACTTTGGAACCCGTCGACCCATTACAGGCAAATCTGCCAGAGGGACTGAAACCAGCCCTGTGTCAGGGTCTTAACTTTGTATGGAAGGTGGGGGCTGGTCAGAGAGTGGTGCCCTCCAGTGAGGAAGAAGCTGTAGCTTGAGCTCAGCTGGTTTATTCTGCTGGTTTGCCCGAGGAGGGGGGTGTAGGGGGAGACATCAGAGCCTGTGTGAGGAGAGCCAGGAGACTGGTTTATGGCTGGAAGAGAGAAATCAGGAGGAAATTCAGTTTCAGGGAGCAACTGGTTGAATTTCACTGCAGGTGGGCATCAGGAAAGAACATTTTTGGCTATACCTCCTGCAGGTCGCTTGGCCATCAGCTGGAGATCTCTTACAGCTGAAGGCAGAGGTGCCTCTGGGTGGGACATGACTCTTGGCCTTTCTCTCTTGAAGGTTTTCAAACCGTACCAGGCGTCCCAGCACGACATGTGCCGCTTCCACTCCGAGGACTACATCGACTTCCTGCAGAGGGTGAGCCCCAACAACATGCAGGGCTTCACCAAGAGCCTCAACGCCTTCAACGTGGGCGACGACTGGTGAGTCTGCCACCCCCAGGCCTCCTCTAGAACGTCCTGGTTCTCCCTTGGCTTTAACCAGAACGAGGAACATGACCTTCCTGTGTAGACCAGGTGGTGGAACCTCCTCCTCGAGTCCTTTTGCTTCTCTTCAGCTCTTACACTCCTCCTTTTTTCGGTCAGTATTTAGGCTGGGAGCTTGTTGGGGTGGAGACTCTTTCACTGCTTGTGCTTGCAGAGCCTCCAGTTCTTCGACGTGGGAACTGGTTTTTAAAGTAATTTGTTCCCATTTCTTAATATAGAATCACAGAATGGTTGGGGTTGGAAAGGACCTTAAAGATCATCAGGTTCCAACCCCCTGCAGGGAGCAGGGACATCTGCAACTAGAGCAGGTTGCTCAGAGCCCCGGCCAACCTCACCTGGAATGTCTCCAGGGGCATTGACCACCTCTCTGGGCAACCTGGGCCAGGGGCTCACCACTCTCAGTGTTGCTTTGATGATCACAAAGCATTTTCTTACCCAAAATGAGAGAGGAAAATAAACCCCCCACCATCTTCAAGCTGTTACTCGTCTGTGGATGTAGCTGGTGACATGATGCTGGTGAGCTGATGACCCAGGGGCTCCACATCCTGTGGTTCTGTGTCATTTAGGTTGGAGAAGACCTTTAAGGTCATTGAGTCCAACCATCCCTGGCCAATTTTATTCTGCTTTTGCTCTGAAGAAATGGGGGAGGAATGATATGTTCTGTGTTTGACTCGTGGTTCCTTTTTCAGCCCAGTGTTTCCAGGCCTCTTTGAGTTTTGCTCTCGCTATACTGGGGCCTCCCTGCAGGGAGCAACTCAACTGAACAACAAGGTAACAGTGCTGGTGTCCTTGTCTTCTGACACACAGGCAAGAGCCAATGGCAGGGGGTCCATCTGAGGAGAACCTCAGAAACCTGGGGCTTTAGTGAAAGTGGCTGCTGGGAGGTCTCAAGACCACTGGTGGGTCTCTGCTGTGGAAATGGGCTACCTGAGACCATGCAAAAGGTCTCAAGAGTCCCTCAGGTCTTACTAAAAAAGAAACTACAGAGGACTGAGTCTTCTGGAGACCTGAGAAAGGTCTGATGAGTGTAAAGAGCGAGCTCAGGAACAAACTGTGTGTGCTGGGTGCTCTGCCTGCTGCTGTAGGGGGAGCAGTGGTGGTGGGAGATGATCTTTTCTGGCCTAACTGGGAATGTAGAGCACAGGACTAATCCAGTATGGACATGATGTATCCACATCTGGGCTAACAACAAGAAGAAGCTTTGGGAGGTCCTCCACAGGAGAAGGAAAGGCCAGGAGGGTGTTTGTGGGCCACAGGGCTGGGCAAGTTGAAGTTGGTGTGCTGGGGAAGTGGCCATGTTGTCACCTTAAATTTGTTTTTCCCCTTCTTAGATCTGTGATATTGCAATAAACTGGGCAGGGGGCCTGCACCACGCCAAAAAGTTTGAGGTAATGAGGCCAATCTCCATATTCCTCTGTCTGTTTGAAACCCAGGCTCTGTGTTTGATCCCTTCTAATGCTCCTCGGTTTTATCTCCCTTGCAGGCTTCTGGGTTTTGTTACGTCAATGACATCGTGATTGGCATCCTGGAGCTGCTCAAGTAAGTCCATGGGGCAACTGCACAATGTCCTGGCTGGTGTGTGCTGTCCCCTTGCTCCTGCTCCATTCTCCCTCTCTCTTTCTCCCCCCTCATTTGCCATTCCAGCATTCAGGAGGGCCAACAACTTGATTTTTGTCCTGGCCTCCTCCTTAGACACCGGAACGAGTGGTGGAGATTTGGAATATCTGCCTCAAGTTTCATTGTGTGCAGCTTGAGGGATACAGAATTCTTCCACTCTGTTTTTCATCCATCTGTGAAATGCTCCGTTCAGGGTCTCCTGAACCTCATTGGTTGGGCCTTTTGTAGGTAAATGTAAATTATGGCTCACTGGAGGCAGTTAAATGACTCAAATCTTTCTTGATTTGCTTCAGTGGATTAAGAACAGGACTCCAGCAACACATGGATGATCAAAGGACACTTGCTTTGAGTAGAAAAGAGTATGCTGGTGGTTTGGGTTTTTTTGGAAACTGAAAAATAAGTTTGGAATGGGAAGAAGAGTTCCAGAAATACCTTTTTCTGGGATTAATAGGGTGTTTTTACGTTTTTATGTACTCTCAAATTCCCTTCTTGTAACTGAGACAATGTGATGGAATTAATAAAGACTTGGGGTTAACCAGACAATAGTTAGGTGGGTGCTGGCAATTTTGCTCCCTCTCAAAGTCACCATTATGGGGTGTGCTGGGGTTTCTTGAGCACCTTTCCTCTCTGCCAGGCTCCCCTGCTCTGTTTGGAACCTAGGAGCTGGGCTGTGTATCTCTGCACAGCCATTTCCTGCCAGAGGTTCCAGCACAGCCCCATTACCCCTCGTGAGAGGCTGTCATGTGTCCCTGTTCTTCTGTTCCCCCTTCTCAGGAAGCATCTCTGCAGCAGGTGGCTGCATACTTGAGTTTGCTTCCCAGCATGGGAGTCCTTTGGTGCCTCTGCTCTGAGAAGTCCTCTTCTCCCTTTTCCAGTGGACAGGGGCTGTGTGCATGCATCTGCTTCAGCTCCTGGCTGGCGTTTGTCTCTGAGGTGAAGGAGCTGGGCTCTTCTAGAGCTTGGGATGCTGAGGCAAGGTACTGGGCTGAGACCCCCCTGCAGTGCTGGGGCAGCTCTGGAGTCCTCAGCACAGCAGAGACAGGGACCTGCTGGAGCGGGGCCAGAGGAGCCCCAGCAATGACCCGAGGGAGGAACCCCTCTGCTGGGAGCCCAGCAGGAGAGAGTTGGGCTGGGGCAGCCTGGAGAAGGCTCCAGGGAGACCTTATACCTTTCAGTACTTCAAGGGGGCCTGTCAGAAAGCTGGGGACAGACTTTGGAGCAGGGCCTGTTGAGACAGGACAAGGGGTGATGGTTTTAAACTCAAAGAGGGAGATTTAGACCAGAGAGAAGGAAGAAATTTTTTTATGCTGAGGGTGGTGAGCCCCTGGCCCAGGTTGCCCAGAGAGGTGGTCGCTGCCCCATCCCTGGAACCATTCCAGGTGAGGTTGGCCGGGGCTCTGAGCAACCTGCTCTAGTTGCAGATGTCCCTGCTCCCTGCAGGGGGGGTGGACTAGATGTGCTTTAAAGGTCCCTTCTAACCCAAACCTCTCTATGATCCTCTGATCTCCCCCTCTTCACCCTCTGTGCTCCAGCACAGATGTCCAGCCTGGTGGTGTTGGTGCTGCCCAGATGGGAATCAGTGCTGCCAGTACTCTAGCACAGGGAGGGAGTAAGTGTTCCTACCTCCTCCTTGGAGGAAACCTTTTGTTTCCTCATATGACAAAATTGTTGGGGCACCTCAGGGTTAACTAATGGTGTATTGTTTGTTGAGGAAACAAAACCCCACGACTTTTTAACACCTAAGTAGTTAAAATGGGTTCTCTTCATCATCTGCTTTCCAAAACATTTTTTACTACATCTTGACAACCTTTCATTCTAAAAATCTTACTTCCAAGTGCATCAGAAGAAGTTGATTTGGTGGTGGGGCATGTTTGGCCATGTATGAATGCCTCTTACCTAACCCATTCGCTAGGCCTCAGGTGGGCCAAGGTGACTTCAGGTGACTTCTGTTGGCTCTGCAGATGCTGGTGGTGGGTTTGGGAGCCGAGGCTCACGGTGCTTTTCCTCCAACAGGTACCACCCACGTGTCCTGTACATTGACATCGACATCCACCACGGAGATGGTGTCCAGGAGGCTTTCTACCTCACTGACCGTGTCATGACCGTGTCCTTCCATAAGTATGGGAACTACTTCTTCCCTGGCACAGGTGGGTGCTTCCCTTATGGGGCCCTCCAAAAGCTCTGCTGGAGGGTGAAAGTGTAAAAATCACAAAAGGAGAGCTGCAGGGAGAAAAGGGTTTAGAGGGCAGGTGGAGAAGAATGGAAGGATAGTCCCATGTGAGAAAAGGGGTCCTGTGTCAAGGGTCAGGGCTGGACTGGCCACTGGGTGAGTGACAGACTCTATCAACCCCTCTGCCTTCCCAAAGGGGATAAGGGAGAGAGACTTATGGGTGGGAAAAGAAAATTAAAATGCTTTTAATGAAAATAATAGTAATAAAATTAAATGGATTTTCATATATTTGCATACAACATGGAACCCAACCCCCTGATGGTAATGACATCACTGTCACCACTGGTGCTGTGGGACAAGCTGGTGGGCAAGTCCCAGACTGGACTCAGTGGCAAAAGCTGGGTTCAGGAACACACAGTTTGGGATCAAAGGCAGAATGGACAGAGTCCTCCTCAGATACTGGCCTTTGAAGAAGAAGCTTGACCCTGGTTATCCCCCAGCCTTATACTGACCATGGTGCAGATGGGTCGGAATCCCTTGTTGGTCAGCGGAGGGTCCCCTGTCCTGGCTGCTCTTCCTTGAAGGTGCCACCTTGTCCTTACTGCACCTCAACGCGGGGCAGAAGGTTGAGCAGTGACCTCAGTCTGCAGAGGAGCAGGTGTGGCAGGAGCCTGTCTGCACACCCCAGCCCTTGGGGATAACTCAACCATGGAGCTAAAAGCAGCCTGCAGAAAATCTGCTGTGGGCTTCAGCAAGTGCTGAGCTGGAAAGTCAAATCCCTGAGCAGAACCGGTCCTGTTGTAACTCAGAGCAGGTCGAGAGCTCTCAGCTCAGCCCAGACCTGGCCTTACCACCCCTCTGGAGCCTGAGAGCTGTTGTGACTCTCCTTGTCTTTCCCTGGGCAGGTGACATGTACGAGGTTGGTGCTGAGAGTGGTCGTTACTACTGCCTCAACGTGCCTCTGCGGGACGGCATCGACGACCAGAGTAGGTGTTCCTGCCTTGGTTTTCCACATCCCCTTGCCCAGCTGAGTGCTGGCCCTTCTGCTCCAGGACCATGACAGGTTGTACCTTCCTCCCTGCAGGTTACAAACACCTCTTCCAGCCAGTCATTAACCAGGTAGTAGATTACTACCAGCCCACCTGCATCGTCCTGCAGGTAAGAAGGCGAGTCCCTGCGTGTGCCCACCCCTCTGGGAGGCTGGTGAGGGGGCTGCTGTTGGTTGGAGTGTCCCAGCCCAGCTGCTCTCTGCACCGTCTGGTGAAGAAGGGTGGCTGAGGGGTGGGGACACTGGTGTGTGTCTGGAAAAGCAACAAAAATGGAGTCGCTGTCCTTCTGTTCCCCAGTGTGGCGCCGATTCCCTGGGCTGCGACCGCCTCGGGTGTTTCAACCTCAGCATAAGAGGCCACGGGTAAGTGCAGGGGGCTGGGGCAGAGCAGGCAGCTGGATCAGACAATCATGGAGTCCTTTAGGTTGGAAGAGACCTTTCAAATCAAGCCCAGCCACTAACCCAGCACTGCCAGGTCATCACTAATCTGTGTACCTCAGCACAATATCTCCACGGTTTAGAAACCCCTCCAGGGATGGGGACTCCACCACTGCCCTGGGCAGCCTGGCACAGCCCTGGACAGCCCCCAAGGGGAAGAAATTGTTGCTCAGGTCCAACCTCAACCTCCCCTGGCACAATGTGAGGCTGTTTCCTCTTGTCCTGTCCCTTGTTCCTTGGGAGAAGACCCCAACACCCCCCTGGCTGCAGCCTCATGTCAGGGAGCTGTGGAGAGCCAGAAGGTCTCCCCTGAGCCTCCTTTGCTCCAGGCTCAGCACCCCCAGGTCCCTCAGCTGCTCCTCACCAGACTTGGGCTCTAGACCCTTCCCAAGCAGCTTCATTCCCCTTCTCTGGCCATGCTCCAGCCCCTCAAGGTCCATCTGGGAGGGAGGGGCCCAAAACTGACCCCAGGATTTGAGGGACAACCTCCCCAGTGCTGAGTGCAGGGGGACAGTCCCTGACCTGGTCCTGCTGTCCACAAGTTGAAAGACCAGAGTCCTCGCCAGTGTTGAAAGACCGACCATTCCTTAGCCTGAAGGAGTCTCCTGCTGTGAGTTTTGAGATTTGACTTCAGCCTCCTTGCAGCACCAGGAGTTCTTTGGGGGTTTTTAACTCTTGGGTGACAGGAGTGGGGTCTGGGAGTGAGGCTTTGTGCAGGGTGCTGTAGAGCAGTGGTTCAGCCTCCCTGGCTGGTAGCCCTGAGCTCCAGGCCTACCACACCACCCATGGTGCTGTTTGGGTGCACGGTGGCATTTTTGATACACAAATTTGTGCTGCATTTACCAGCTCTGGCATTTTGTTTTTCGCTTGGGGTTTCTAGGGAGTGCGTGGAGTACGTGAAGAGCTTCAACATCCCCTTGCTGGTACTGGGAGGAGGTGGCTACACAGTCCGCAATGTGGCACGCTGCTGGTGAGTCTCTGCTCCTCGATGGTCACTGGGTAAGGAGTGGGCTTTGTCCCTGCCTGTGCCACGCAGCTTTCTCTGCACTGAACTCCTCTTGCTCCACGTTTTCAGGACTTACGAAACGTCGTTGCTCGTAGATGAAGCGATAAGTGAAGAGCTCCCTTACAGTGGTGAGTTGGAGCTTCATTTTTAACTCCCTAGCTGAGCTGAAATGTTTGTTATGTCAGCTGAAGAATTAACACTTCTGCTCTGCTTTGTGACCAGAGGTAAGGCCAGGGCCAAAGCGACAGCCTGTTCTGGTCTCAGAGCTGGCCTTAGTCATCTCCTGCCATCAGCTTGGAGACTTTGCTGGGCAGACACACACCTACACTGTCATGTCTCACTTAATGTGGATCATCTCCTTTACAGTGTTGCTTTTTCTGGCTCTGTTGTTCTGTATATCATAGGATCCTAGAATCTTAAGTTGGAAGGGACATCACAGATTAGCTGGCCCAACTTTTCTTGGCAAAAGCCCAGTCTAGACAAGCTGGCCCTGCACCCTGTCCAGCTGAACCTTAATAGTGTCCAGTACTGGTGACTCCACCACTTCCCCAGGGAGATTATTCCCATGGGTGATTGTCCTTGGTGTGGAAAAAATTTTCTCTTGTGTCTAGTTGGACTCTCGTCAAGGAGTAACTTGTCCCCATTACCCCTCATCTTTTCCATGGGACTTTGTGTAAAAAGGGAGTCTCCAGCTTCTTTGTAACCACCTTTTAACTACGGGAACATGATGACAGGGCCTCCCCTGAAGTTTCTTTTCCAAGCTGAACAAACCCAGTTCTCTCAGTCTTTCCTCACATGGCAACTTCTCAGTCCTTGGACCATCGTGGTGGACCTTCTGTGGACTCTCTCCAGCCTGCCCACACGTTATCCCATGATCCATGGAGGTTCTTCTCTCCCTCTACTTTACCCTAGCCAGGCTACCTCTGGAGTATTGGATCCATTTCTGGGCTCCCCATTTCAAGGGAGACAAGAAACTACTGGAGAGAGTCCAGTGGAAGCTCTGCAGCTGCTGAGGGGCCTGGAGCATCTCTGTGCCAGGAAAGGCTGAGAGCCCTGGGGCTGTTGAGCTGGAGAAGAGAAGCCTCAGAGGGGATCTGAATCAATGCTGAGCAAGAGCTGAAGGGCCCCCGGGGGTCAACAGGCTGGGGTCAGACTCTTGTCAGTGGTGCCCAGCGACAGGACAAGGGGCAATGGGCACAAACTGGAACCCAGGAGGTTCCACCTGAACAGGAGGAGAAACTTCTTTGCTGTGAGGGTGGCAGGGGCTGGAGCAGGCTGCCCAGAGAGATTGTGGAGTCTCCTCTGGAGAGATCCCAAACCCACCTGGATGTGATCCTGGGCACCCTGCTGTTGGGTGACCTGCTGGAGCAAAGGGGTTGGATGAGGTGATCTCCAGAGGTCCCTTCCCACCCCACCATGCTGGGATTCTGGGATCCAATTCCCTGCAGCTGCAGAGCTGTACCTCGCTGTGCTTTTTGGGGTCTGTCACTCATGGCATGGTGAGCTGCCACCCTCACCTCTGCTGTGTCTCTCTTGCTCCTTCCTTCACAGAGTACTTCGAATACTTTGCTCCAGACTTCACCCTTCATCCTGATGTCAGCACAAGGATTGAAAATCAGAACTCCAGGCAGGTACGTGCTGGCAGCCTTGGTGCTGTGTGCTTCTGAACCCCTGGGGTGATGCTCTTCTGTGAAACCAGGTAGGGCCCAGGCAAGGGATTCTTGTGGGGTAGAAAAGTGATGAAAAACAAGTGGAACCTTTGCTCTGGGTTGCCAAAAAGTCTTGTAAAAAGAACTCAGCAAGGTTCTCAAATAGTACAATTGTAGGGTTGGAAGGGACCTCTGGAGATCATCTCATCGAACCCCCCTGCTCCAGCAGGTCACCCATAGCAGGGTGCCCAGGATCACACCCAGGCAGGTCTGGGATCTCTCCAGAGAAGGAGACTCCTCAACCTCTCTGGGCAGCCTGCTCCAGGCTCGGACACCCTCAGAGCAAAGAAGTTTCTCCTCCTGTTCAGGTGGAACCTCTTGGGTTCCAGTTTGTGCCCATTGCCCCCTGTCCTGTCACTGGGCACCACTGACAAGACAAGAGTCTGGCCCCAGCCTCTTGTCCTTCGGGGGCCCTTTAGCTCTTGCTCAGCATTGATCAGATCCCCTCTGAGTCTTCTCTTCTCCAGCCCCAGGGCTCTCAGCCCTTTGTGGCACAGAGATGCTCCAGGCCCCTCAGCAACTTTCTGGCCCTCCACTGGCCTCTCTCCAGTAGCTCCTTGTCTCTCTGGAACTGGGGAGCCCAATACAATTATGGGACTGATTTCTGTGTGCTTGAGTAGCAGTAACTGAATCAACTCTCCCACCTCCTCTGCTCTGCTCAACATCTTGCACAAGTGGATTTTGGTGGCTACCACCTCGACGAAGCGGGCAGGCAGCGGTGCTGACATGCCTGGCTCCGGGTGGTCTGTGGGATCACGTGGTGCTGATCCCTCTCTCCTTTCTCTTTTCCTGTGTAGTACCTGGATCAGATCAGACAGACGATATTTGAGAACCTGAAGATGCTGAACCACGCTCCCAGCGTGCAGATCCACGACGTCCCTTCCGACCTGCTCAGCTACGACCGCACGGATGAGCCCGATCCCGAGGAGAGGGGCTCCGAGGAGAACTACAGCAGGTACCAGAGCTTGTGCTGGAGAAATTTGCTTCCCTTTGGTTGGGCAGATGCTACCCTGGAGAGAGTCTCATTTTCTAGAACAGCTACTGAGTCACTGCTCAGCCCCTGGTTTTATCCAGGGAGCCTCTCTGGAAATGGGTGGTCTCCTCACGTGACATTTCATGGGGTGTTTGGGTGTGGGGGCATCTCCTGACCTTCAGCAGTGTGACCTAGACCATGTTCTCTGTCTGCAAGGGTGCAGGACTCTCCTGGCTGACAGTGATTGTCTTTCCCCCCAGGCCTGAAGCTACCAACGAGTTTTATGACGGTGACCACGATAACGACAAAGAGAGTGACGTTGAGATCTGAGGGTGCTGCTGTGGTGCTCTGGACTCTGGGGGAGCCCCACGTTTGACACGGGTGCTCAGAGCAGATCACTGGGCCATGTAGGAGCCAGTCAGGCCCCTCCTCTTTGGATTCCCTGGCTTGCAGGGGCAGCAGGAACATCAGCACCGCGGGCTCCTGCAACCCGGAGAGGCAGAGAGCAGTGAGATGTGTCCTGTCCTTCCCTGCCACGTGTCACCGTTCTGGCTGTCACCTCTCTGGGGCTGTCCCCTTGCTCGTGGGGTGCAGTGTCCACAGAGTCTGCCCAGCCTGTCTAGTGTGGTGGGGCTCTGCCTCTCTTCAACAGCAGCTCCTCATCCCTCCCGCTCCCCTGGCCCCTGCTCGGCTCCCCAGCCCGCTGCCCTCTGAAGCCTGCGCTGAGTTGCTTCCTGATGTCCCCTCCTAACTGTTTGAGAAGACAAAGGCCCTTGTGGAACAGGGGTGGGGAGTGTCCCTGGAGCAGCAGGGTGGAAGAAATCTGCAGAGCGGGGTCTTGTTCCTCCTCCCCATGCCCCATTTCACATTCACAAGCTGGTGCTGCACAGCTTGGCCCAGTTGGAGCTGACTTCCCTGTCCCCTGTCCCTCGGGAGTCTGAAATCGGCACGGAGCAGAGCTCTGGCTGCTGAGGTCGGTCCATGGCTCCCAGCTGTTTCCTGAGGCCACACGTGGCCCTTCAGGGTGTCAGTGAGAGACGTGGGCTGCCCGGAGCAGAATCCGACCCGTCCTGACTGGCCCTGGGAGATGTGGCTGTGCTCACGGGTGGAGGAAGCTGCATCCTCCAGCTCCCACCTCCTCCCATCCCAGACTGAGCCGTGGTTTGGAGCTGGGGGGAGGCGGGTGGGGCTCAGCCTCTGTCTGTGCTGTTCCCTTTGGTTACTGGGGTCTTGAACCATTAAAGGAAGAGGCTGTATTTTTCTTACCTGACCCTCACACCTCTCTGGTTCATGTTCTCTAAAGGGTTCAGAAGGTGCCTATTGACCCTGTCGTCCTGCCTGAACAAGTGTAGGGCACCCAGCTCCTCGAAGGGTGCCCTGGTGAGCCTTCAGCCTCAGCACACAATGAGGAGAGCCCTCAGTTCCCTCACAAGAGGCAGGTGGGCTAGTGGACACTTCTGATGCCTCCAATTCCATGGAAAGTTTTGTGGGAAGCTGCAGAGATTATTCCAGAAAGCTTGCCTGTGGTGATTTTAAATATTGGGGTGTCTTTGAGTCAGTTTCCACAAGAGTCTGCTCTTTTGCTGTCGTAGAGCCCTCATTGGTGGCTCTGAGGAGGAAAGGCTGAGAGCCCTGGGGCTGATCACACTGGAGAAGCCTCAGAGGGGATCTAATCAATGCTGACCAAGAGCTAAGGGCCCCTGAGGGCAAGAGGCTGGGGCCAGACTCTTGTCAGTGGTGCCCAGCAACAGGACAAGGGGCAACAGGCACCAAATGGAGTCCAGGAGGTTCCACCTGAACAGGAGGAGAAACTTCTTTGCTGTGAGGGTGCCTGAGCCTGGAGCAGGCTGCCCGGAGAGGTTGTGGAGTCTCCTGCTCTGGAGAGATCCCAAACCTGGCTGGAGGTGATCATGGGCGCCCTGCGGTGGGTGACTTGCTGGAGGATGGGGGTTGGATGAGATGATCCAGAGGTCCCTTCCACTCCCACCACACTGGGATTCTGTCAAGTTTTAGCTAAGCAATAGAAAAGATTGACTGCACATAGAACCCTTCAGACACAGACCAGAGGGCTCCATTCTGAACCTCCCAACACAACCAGGGTCTCCCTGTCAGCTTTGTCTGACCCTGTCCTCAGTGCACTAAACAATCGTGTCCCTTGCCATCAAATTTTCTTAAACCCGTCGCGTTTACTGCCGAGCTTTGTTAAAACTCTGCTTTGGGTTCAGATCTTTGTTTTAGACCAACAAACACGTTGCCACTTCTGCGAGCAAAGCGAGTGGCTCCATCGTCAGCCCCGGGGGAGGCTGGCACCACCCAGGACATCCCAGATGAGGTGACAAACCCTTTGCTCCCGCTGCCCACAACCCAAACTACCTGAGGCCTGGTTTAATTGATTTAATTTAATTTACCTGATTTCCCGTTGGAAGCATTTGAGCTGACACCCTGGGCGTTGAGGTAGCTCCGAGGCTCGGGACGTGCGCTGACGGGTGGGCAGCGGGGCCCTGCGGAGGAGTTTTGGAGGGTTTTCCCTTTTTCGCTCTTTTTTCCTTGCTTTTTTTAACTCCCCTAAAGCCCTGCCCGTCCCGCCGGCGGCGCTAGGACCCGGAGAATGCTGGCTGGGGGGCGTGGCCTGGTGGGGGCGTGGCATCATGAATATTCATATTGGACGGGACCAAGCAGCGCGGTGAGTTGGGGGGGGACCGGAGGGAAGTCCCGGGGCGCGGTATGGGGCTGCAACCTGGGATGCTCCCGAACCTTCCCCGCTCCTCGGGATGCTCACGAATTCCCCCCTGGGGACCTCCCGAGCTCCCCGGGCTGCTCCCGACCCCCCCCCGCCCCGACCCTGGCAGCGTGTGTAGGACCTGGAGCTCTGCTGGGACGTTTCCATCATCCAGTGATTCCTTTTGTTTGCAGGTTGGGGTGGATGGAGGGATCTAAAGAGGGGTCCTGAGCGCAGGTTGGTGGTTTCTTTGCGCTTCTCGTTGTCTGTAGAGTGGTTTGGGTTGGAAGGGACTTTTAGGGTTCATCTGGTCCAACCTCCCTGCAGGGAGCAGGGACATCTGCAACTAGAGCAGGTTGCTCAGAGCCCCGGCCAACCTCACCTGGAATGGTTCCAGGGATGGGGCAGCGACCAGACCACCTCTCTGGGCAACCTGGGCCAGGGGCCCACCATTCCCAGGGGCTCACCATCCTCAGCATCAAAAAATTCTTCCTTCTCTCTAGTCTAAATCTCCCTCTTTGAGTTTAAAACCATTACCCCTGGTCCTTTCCCAACAGACCCTGTCCCCAGCTTTCTGACAGACCCCTTGAAGTGCTTGCAGGCCACCAGAAGGTCTCCCCAGCTGGAGCCTTCTCCTCTGCAGCTGCCCCAGCCCAACTCTCTCCTGCCGGGCTCCCAGCAGAGGGGTTCCCCCCTCGGGTCATTGCTGGGGCTCCTCTGGCCCCGCTCCAGCAGGTCCCTGTCTCTGCTGTGCTGAGGACTCCAGAGCTGCCCCAGCACTGCAGGGTTGTTCCCCATCTCCCCAGAGCGGGGTAGACCAATATGTAGCTTGTACGTATTGAAAGTTTTAAGAAGTATTCTGATGACAGACACCCTGGCACATGTTTGGTGTGGGGTGAAGCCCCCTGGTCTCTGCATGCCCTAAACCTGAGTAACCCTGAGCACCTGGAGACCCTTTCAGAACCTCAGCTCAGCGTCTATTTTTTAGATGGAGGAAAGGGAAATAAAGGTCTCCTGGAGTAGGATTTCCAGTGAAATTTCCCTCTGATTTCTGAGTTGGGGACTAAGCTGTGTGGCCATAATCTCTCTGAAGTTATCTCAGTGCTTTTTTTTGACAGTCTCTCTGAGCAGTTCACACAGAGACGTTGCATTTGAGAGCTGAGTGTTTCTCTACTTACTTTCCTCCCCTTTTCCATGTGATATTTCCGGCTCCTCTGCTCCCTTGTTCCTCAGCTCTCCTTCAGACCCTCTCAGAACAGGCTGCAGCTCAAGCCCTTTCCTTCCCCCTTCATGCCTGGCAGTGGCTGCCATTGGTTTCCTCTTGCTCCTCAGTGTCTTCCATTTTCCATGGCAGCTGATGACACTCACACATCTCTCCTGCAGTTCTCGGTGTTGGCTTGCTGTCTTGGGATCCCCTCATTTTATTTCCCCCCCTGGGATTTCTGGGAAGTGCTGGGATTCATGATGCCAACGTGGTGCTCTGCTTGGGGAAAAGTGCCCCATGTGTCTTTTTTAATTCCCACTGTGTCTTTTTGGGGCATCTCAGCTGCTGAAATCCGTGCCGAGATCCGTGTTTGGGGTGGAGCCGAGGGATCCCCGTGTGTGGGGGGGCAGGGGGCTCATAGCAGTGTGAACATTGGCTCTCTCGGAGCTCCATATGTGGGTTTCCTGCACCAACCACCTTTTCTCCTCCCTTTTCCCTGTAAGATGCAATCGAGGTGCTTAAATCCCTGCTGAGATCTGTGGTGGTGTCTGCCCAGGCACCTCAGGGCAGTTGCTGGCAGAGGCAGGGAAGATGGTGGTGGAAGTTTCTGGTATGTTTTCTGGTGCCATCATCTCCTCCTCAATCATCTACTTATCCTGGCACAGACAAATACTTTCCATCTCCTTGTCCAGGCCTGTAGGACCATAATTTCTCTGCCCTTTTTGTGGCTTACTCTGCTTGTCTCTTACTCTCTCTCCCAGCTTATCCATTAGGGCTTGATGAGCCCTTTTTTTTTCTTCCATGTCTTTCTATGTATCTGTGGGGCTTTTTGGTCTTCTTTTTCCACTGCTGTGCACTGGAAACCTGCTCTCCCTTCCCTGGGAAGGAGATGGACTTCTTTTTCAACCCTCTACATGCCCTTCCCTGCTCTGCCTGGGTGAACGGAGCATTTCTGCTTCTTCCCAAGTCCATATGTTCCTTCTGTGGCTCTTGGGAATCTGAAGGTTCCCTGAAAGCCTTTCTCTTGCTGGCAGGGTGGGGTTTGAAATGAGTCCCTCCCTCTCTTATTGCTTCTCTGTCCCTTGTCAGAGGGAACAAGCTGGACCAGGCCATCTCTGTGCCCAGGAAAGGCTGAGAGCCCTGCAGTTGTTGAGCTAGAGAAGAGAAGCCTCAGAGGGGATCTCATCAATGCTGAGCAAGAGCTGAAGGGCCCCTGGGGGACAAGAGGCTGGGGTCAGACTCTTGTCAGTGGTGCCCAGTGACAGGACAAGGGGCAACGGGCACCAACTGGAACCCAGGAGGTTCCACCTGAACAGGAGGAGAAAATTCTTTGCTGTGAGGGTGGCTGAGCCTGGAGCAGGCTGCCCGGAGAGATTGTGGAGTCTCCTGCTCTGGAGAGATTCCAGA